ACCTGGTTTTTCAAAATGGGTGACTGTAAAAACAAATGTATATAAACACCACAAAAATCCCCCATCCCCGGGGGGTGGGGGGGAAATTCTGGGAGTTGAAGTCCACTCATCTTAAAGTGGCCAAGTTTGGACAACACTGGCTTAACTTCTTGGCATGGCATGACATTGCAGAAGACTCACAGACAGTTTGGCCAGATGAGAATCTTAACTGCAGACAAGTATAAAGCTGCATGAACAACAATTGACTGACTGCTACAGTGCAATTATTTCAGGGACCTTTATATATTCTCAAGGGTTTAAATTCAAGGCTTTTTCCTCCCACTCCTTCGTACCTTGATGTCTGGTGACTGTGTTACTGTAATAGGTTTCTCAGGACTTAGAAAAGAGAATAGCAGTTTGAAAGTATTATAAGTGCAGAACTTCTGCACATCCTTCCTTGCTCAGGTAAAATGGTAGCTACCTTCTCCGTGAATAAAAGGGTGGTTAGCAAGAGGATCAAGAAAGGTCCATCATAACAAACTTTTCAGTAACCTAACCCTTTTTCCCTTTCAATAAATCTGATTTAAAAAAAAACTCTGCGACAACCCTGCTTTCTGATGATATGCTAAGAGTCTCACTAACCTCATCCCTTACAAAGCTCATGATAAAGAGCATCCATTAAGAAAACATTTAAATAGTATCCCATTATCACTCCATAAGAAACTACTCATAATGTAAGGCTTACTATCTATAAATTTTATGCTACAAATTAATATGCATCTTCCTACTTGGGTCTGAAGAGATTTAAAATATTCCAAGTGTTTTGGAAGTCAGCTTTACATCTCAGCATACCGAGAAAGAGTTCAAAGAAAATACTGTACACTGCATGCAGAAATATCCCTGAAGAGCCGTATGATCTAATTATGACCTTGCATAGGAATTAGCAATACTAGTATTTGCTTGTTAGGATTGAGCCCAAGTTGTTCCTCTCCATCCAGACCTACACAGCCTCCAGACACTGAGCTAGGACTTTGATGGCATCACCAAGTTGGCCCTGGGTCAAGATGTACAACTGGACATCACTGGCATACTGGTGATACTTGACTGCAACCAACGGATGACCTCACCCAATGGTTTCATGTAGATATTAAACAGAAGAGGAAAAAGCATTGAATTCTGCAACATCCCACAAGTGAGGGACTGTTGGTGTGATCTTTACCCACCCATTAATACTGATTGGAACTAGCCACAGATAAAGGAGGAGAACCACTGTAAAATGGTGACTCCCACCCTCAACCCTCAAAACCAGGGCAAAAGGATACTGTAGCCAACAATACTAAAAGCTGCTGAAAGATCAAGAATCACACACCACCAAATAATCAGCAAGTGTGATTAAACATATAGTGTGTACTTTCCGCAAAGGCAAACCTTTTAACATCCTCTAGCAGGCAATACAAACAATTCCAAAAGCAGTCACTATGAAGACTGTAATCAAAAATCAAAGGAGTAATACTGAATAGCATTTACTCAAAAGGAAGAATGCAGCAAGAAGAATAAAAAGCAGTTATTTAATTTCCTAACCATTCCATTTTGCATCTTACAAATTAATGTGCCTTTTAAATTCCAATCTTTCAAATCTAACATGTTGTTAAAGATTGGCTCTCAATAAATTACAATATCAAATTCATACAATTAAAAAAAACATTCAACTTACCAACGAGGAGGTTTTTCTGCATAGAGCACTGAGGTGGGATGGATATGAAGTTCATGGTCATCACGAATAGTCCTTGAAATAGCATTATTTCAGAAACACAATATTTATTTACCAAAGCAACATGTCTGTGTTTGTGTGCAATACAGGCCACTATCTATTTCCTTATATATTAGCTTGATTGGGATGTTACTGATCAGCAACATTTTCAGAATGCTTTCCCAGTTTTCATTTGAATATTTTGAAATCTCTTTTTCATTTTGTTTTTCAAATGAAGGAGATTTTGTCAAGAAAAACATGTGTCTCCCCTCACCCTAATTGGATTTAACTCAACTGAATTCACTATCAAGAAGGTCAGTTGGCCAAAACTGAGCAAGCATACTAGGGACCTATTGTTCCAACTGATGGCTATCTGTTATGAACTCAAATTATGATAATTTTATATATTTTCTGGTATTATGATCATTTTATCAAGTATAATCTTGACTAAAATTCTTCAGTTCAATCATGACTAACTTGTGCTTTATTGACTAGTTTAATGAAAACAGTAGTATTTCTGTTGGTTTTAGAAGAATTTACTAGAATGAATTGGCATATTTTGTGCTTATATCTTCATGTAATTGCTTATTTTTTAATTACTATACTGTGGATGTTTTATATTAATCAATTACTGCCCACCAGATGTTGGGCTAAAATCAAATAAATAAATTTACCTGTAGGACCCAGTAGAATGAAATCTGGCTGCATTAGCAAAAAATCCAGAAACAATACACCTTAGAACAGGGTCTGGATCACCTAAAATAAAGAGATGGATTTATCATTTTACAGAGGGCATATATCAGAGATAGGTACCTTGGTGTTCTCCAGAAGTTCTGAACTTCAAATCATAGCAGCCAAGAATGGGACTTACAGGAACTGAGCCCCAAAATATATGGAGAGACAAGGTTATCTTTTCCTGTGATACGTGAAAGGCTCAAGTTAAAAAGAAAAAATAATAACCAACAATCACAAATTATTGGTGGAAAAAAGAAAGGGTAAGTTCTTCTAAAAATACATTTTACTGACACAAAAATAAGTGGATATTAAGAGAAGATGCCTATAAATAAAGAAACCAGTACTATTACATGCTGAACAAAACAGAATCATTCTATTCTGCAAATTAAACATTAAAACTACATAGGAAACACACTGCTAAAGTAAGCAGTTCATACCTTCACTGGATTTTTTTGGCACTTTAAACTTGACAAGAAGTTTTTTCAGCTGCTCCCTTACAATTGTGGCTCTAACAAGGCCTTTATAATTCAGAAAGTGCTCCTGACACCACTGAGAACTTTTGTTGTGCTGCAAATGAAAGGGAAAAGCTGAACCACACCTACAAAATTTCTATCAGAAAGTGTTAGCTTCATATGCAGTTTTCTTGTTTCCTTGCTGTCACAGGAATGAAGATATTCACAACCTCCCCCACCCACTGCAGACTACTGTACAAGGCAAAACCAATCTCAAAACCTTAAAATCTTTTGAAAATAAAAGCAGTGCAGTTTGCAAAATAGACTCTACTATCTTGCTAACTCAGATAATAAAATGCTTTAAACCCACTTGATATCCTTTTTGTAAATCTCATGAACTGTGAAACCTGCTGCTACTGTTTAATTTATCTGCATCCTAAATCTTAATTTCTACTGAGAAAGCCATAGCAGATGGCAGAATTCTGCAATGAAGACATTAACACTGACAAATGCACATACTCCAAAGATAAGCAAATATGCCCCAAGTTACAGAACACAAGTAATTATAAAGATTAAGAATCTCAGCTTTAATTTTAAATATTGCATATTCCTATCTCTTGCCGTAAGATAGATGATTGTTAAAGAAGTATGTCTACAAAACATGCAACATGCTGCTAAATCTCTAAAATCACAATAGGGTTTTCAGTTATCTGTGCTGAGCTTCTTGCCTTCGTTACAACTAAAATTGGCTTTACTTGTTTTAGAGATCCCATCCAATGTTAATTATTACAATTGATATTTGTGGTCTAAATTCACATCAGTTGGAAGTCATGGCTGGAAAAACCCAAAGATCTTTTTGTACTTTAGTTTAGTTTAGCTGCTTACTTTTATAAAAGCTTCATAGACATTAAGCATCGTGAGATGGTCACCCTCCTCAACAGCAAATTTTCTATGTTCTCTAATCTGAAAGGGAGAAATCTTTTATAAAGCAAACAACAGAAGCAGGAATCTTTTTTCTTGGTGGAGATACAGAAATATCAATAGGGCTGAAAACAGTCAAGAATCCTCTAGGCTTTTCCAACTGTCAGCTGGAAATCTGTTATGAGTTATTTCTTTCAATGTTTCCCACAGGAGGTACAATTTTGTTTTGAACACTGTTCATTGTTATCCATATTATCCTATTTCACTTTCAAGGAGGAGGAGGAGGAGGAGGAGGAGGAACATTTAAAACTGTATTGCATTTAAAAAAAACCTGGAACAACTGTATATTTTACTGATATAAAAGATTTCTACTTAGCCATTATGACTTAAGGTTTGTACAAATCAATTTCTTAAAAGTATTGCAACAGTTTCACCTTACACAAAATAATGTGTTTTCTAAATTGTTTTCCAGTGAAATAAACCCAATAGTGAAATACTGTAATCTCTCTCCCTACTCTATAACAGACTTTTCTTTACACCTTGAAAAAAAGTCATTTCTTTATTTGGACAATATTTATTCTACTTGTCCATTTCTTGTAAAGTAAATGAAGTACTTAACCACTGCAAAATAAACAAAACTCACAGTGAAAATTAAGAAACGCAAACAGAAATCAGCTAAGCAAAAGGAAACCAACAACACCAAAAGAGCCAGAAATAATAATGCACAAGACTCTGCCAGACTACAGATTTGCAGCAATAATGAATGTTTGGCTACCACTTCAACATCAAAAAGAAGAAGAAGAAAAAAAGAATCACAACAAAGATATTTTCATATATTTACAACAACTATGAGATGCAATGGAATATGCAAAAGAGCCAGAAGATTCACTAAGGAGATGATCCCTTAATTTTTTGTTTATAAGTTAATTGATCAGGGATGCAAAATCTGTATCTCCAAGGCCACAGTCAGTCTCACAAAGCCTTGGTTCCAACTCCAAGGCTCTATCCAAATGTTACTGTAAAGCTGTAATTGTTAATATGACACAAAAAGAAAATTGTTACATACAAAATATGAATTAAGTTAGATTGCTTTCATTTATTTAATCTATTTAATTTTTGTCCTAACTCTGCTCACTGTTTTGTCTCGGTCCCAATTACCTTTTGGAATGCAACACCAGCATGCTACTTAAAGGCTAAATGTGAACCTTGGCCCAAAAAAAGATTACACATTCTGATTTAGGACTTTAAAAGTAAAAATACAATAGCTGTGTGATCCAGGAACCTAGCTGTAGTCATATTCTTATCAGCTAGTTTCTAACTGAAGTGGAGGTTGCAATGACCATATCAACCTTCTTTAAAAATTATGATTGCAGCTGGCATGTCAATATAAGCTAGATAAAGGTGCTCCTGACCATACTAACAAAACTGGGCAATCAAGAGCAAAGCTAGTTCCAGGTGAGTTCCCAAATTGTAGCCCCTTGTTTTCAAGAGGAGTGAAACCCAAAGAGGTTAAATCTGCACTTGAAAAGAGTTTTAACTAACCAAGAACACAATAGTCTTGTCAGCATTACACTTCAAAGTGTATTTCAACAGGTACAAGTACTCAGAAGCAAAAGCATATCAAAAACTACATAGTTAAAGCACAAGTCACACTTAATGTTTTTACTTAAATAGCTAATGAGGAGGCACACAATATGAATGAAAACAAGATACCCAACTGTATAGGTCAATGCAAACAGTCTGGAAGAGTTTCAAAGGTATGTTGGTTGGTATAGACCAGCACTTACAGCTTGAACCTTTTGGTTTGGAGGAACTGTGAAGATATTTTGGATTTGCATCATGGATGCAATGCTCAGAATCTCTTGGGAGCAGCCAAAATTTCCTACAAAATGATTTAAGGAAAAGTGGGGTGGGGAAAAGAAAATTCATTGTCATGGAACAATACTTCATTTGTTACACCTTTCTGATTAAAAAAGCTACAGCAGTGATAAAAATACTACATTACAAAATAACCTAAATATGAAAAGCACTCAGGTGAACTTTATAGAAGCAGAAAAAGGGGGAAAGCTTATTTTCTCCTTATGAGAACCACTTTCCTTTCTCTCAAGAATGGTTGGTCATTGGCCAATGGTCCCACATATTAGAACAGTGTCACTGAAATTTTGCTTCTGTTTTGTATGGAGAATAGAAAAACTAAATGTCACTTGGAAAGGAGATAATCTAATCCAATCATTTGCGTGTAAATCCTGACTATATTCCAGTACTGTCCGGCTGTGTTTCTGAACCAGGTAATGGATTAAAAGGTTCCAGCTTTTTCATCTTATGATTAGATTTGAGGAGTCACTTGTTCACATTCTGATTTTGAGCTTGTCCTTTCAAGAGGGCTCAAGAAATAGAAGACACATGAGTGTTCATTAAACCTGGACTGTTACTCTAAAAATGCAAACTCTAAATTACTCTAAAAATTACTCTAAAAATGCAAACCTTAATTCAGGGATAGGCAACATGTTGCCTGGGTGTATCAGCCACCTCACTTAGTGGCCACCAAACTCTCCATTACATGTGGACTTAGCCTGTAATGCTACAAAGCTAAGCACCAGTTTCTAGTATATTATTATTTGGAAGGGTACCTTTGGGCCCATAAAGGTCTCTCTGCATGCAAATATGCATGCTTATGTCTTAGTTTGTATTCTGGTAATTGGTAATATCACTTTGTGGAAGGCAGCCATTCTGTGAATGTACCCACCCACATACTCTCAAATCTTCAGATATGCCCCTGGCATAAAAAAAAAAAAAAAAAAGCTATTGACTCAGTTCAGGAAAATGGCCAATTTCAGCATTCCAGCTGCAGTCACTTCTCCTGGAATGAATGCTGCTACCTTAATTTTCAGCAGCACCATTCTGAGCTGATGCAAAGGATTGATATATATATATAAATGCCATGCACAATTCCATAGATTGTGGAATCTAAGGAATATTTGGCAAGAAGCAAAGCAACTATTTCCAGCATTAGTAGTTCTAAAAGGCAGGGTAAAAACAGTCATTGTACTGTAGCAGTTAAGATGTTGGATCTTGACCTGAGAGATTCAACTTCAAGTTCACGCTGAACCAGAGTTCACTGGGGAACATTGGACCAGTCACTCCTTCTCAACCATACCTACCTCACAAGGTTGCTCCTGTTGAAGGAATAAAATTAGGGGAGACCTTCATGTATCCCATTTTAAACTCTGAGTTTAGGTAGGATATGAATTTAATCTATTACAAAATTAAATCATGAAGATTTTTAAACTGTTGTGTTGTGCAATCACAAGAAACAATACTGTATCTCTTACACTGCTTTCTCCATACTCCTATTCCACTCTCATGATCCAGATGTCTATCACATTAATGAAAACATATGGCAAATTTATTTTTAATGATAAATGCACATTAAAAAATTCTAGTTATAAAGTAAGAGGAATTAACTATCCAAATTATAATAGCACATATTACCTGATTCTAGGAGCATCTTTGCAAACATGGGATTTAAAGGGAACTCTGCTATCCTAATTCCCAGAGGTTCAGTGAGACGACAATATTTATCAAGTCCTGCAGGAGAAAAATCAATGATACAGAAGGTAAATACTGGTAACTCAGAATGACTTAAATATAAGGTATGAAGAGCAAAGAAAGACACAACTGACTATTATTTTCCAGAGCTAAAACCATATTCCTGGATCTTTTTATTATATGGGTTGCTACATCTTCAACCTAGCATTCATATAACAAAAATATAATCAATTATGAATGTTGAAATCTCCATACCCTTTTTTTTTTTTTACAGAAAAATACAATACCTCCCAATATTTTCTCAGCCTAAAATCTTAAAAGAATCTCTTAATGACAACCTAATTATATAAAGTGTATTGCTTCACTCTCATTTTGCTTTTGCCTTTGACTTTTTAGACCTGATCTAAAGATGAAGCACATCTGCAGGATATAAAATTATTACTGACAAAAGTTCACAATCGAAATGAAAAATGCAATGACAATCAGAGGATTCTTCTAGAGTGCAAGAAGTTACCAGCAAAAAAACACTGCAGCTTACTGAGGATTTCATCAATCTTTCTAAATACTATAAACTGTTCATTGAAAACTTGTGCATTACTGAGCTTTCATGAAAGTACCTATTTCATACCCAAGGAATGAGAGCCCACTCACAGCAGAGTTCAGATGCCATCACAAAGAAAGAAAGCTGAGAATGCAAAAGGCTCAATAATATTTCAATATCAAATCTGAAATCATAAATGCACCACTGATAATCAAGCAAAGAGCAGCTCTTTGAGCAAACTTAGCCCAATGAATGGTGTTGCAATTACTTAGTAAGAACAAGCTCAATCTCTGTAAGAGGAGTTCCATTTCTTCTTTTACACCCCTACTTTATTACTGATGTAGTTTATGTAAAAGCAGTGTTTCTCAACCTTAACAACTTTAAGATGCATGGACTTCATGCTGGGGAATTCTGGGAGATGAAGTCCACATATCTTAAAGTTGCTGAGGTTGAAAAACACTGATGTAAAGTAATTTAAATTCTCAAAATCTGTTATCAAATATATTTTACTTCCGTTCAATTCCAGACAAGGGTTCTGTTTTTAGCCAACTTTTAATTTAGTGCTCTGGACCTCTTCCTTAACAATCAATGCACAAATACCTAAGAATTATATTAATTGATCAGAGCAGCAATGTATTACTCCTGTAAGTGATGAGTAGCACTCATTTGCAAAGAATGTACAAGAAACACTGCAATGGGGATTATACCATGTTAACAGCCACAGACATTTCTTCTCAACATTCGGTCTAAAAAAAAAGAACTGCCTTTCAAAATTTTGGCATGCATTTGACATAGAACAAGCAAATTTTCAGAGTGTTCTGCATCTGAAATAGGTACTTTCATGAAGGCTCAGTAATGCACAGAAAAAACAAGTTTTCAACTATTTGAAAATATACTTATAAGCCTGGTACTTTAAAAACTTTAAAAACAAGACAGTTCTGTTTTGGTTAATTAATAAATAATACCTATTTGTGAAGGCAATAATGTGACTATGTTTCATATCCTCTGTAGTTAAAAACAAACAAACAAACCATCTTACCTCCTAAGGCATACAATAGCTCCAGAGCTTGCACCATTGATTGAGCTGGTGGAGGCTAGGGAAAAAGTAGTAATATTATTTGCTCTGCTTGCTACAGAAAGATATCTTCAATTTACAAACCTGCCTTTCTGTGAATCCAAGGAAGATCAGGTAATCTCCTATTGTTGTCTACTTAGCTTCAGCAAGATTGGCACACATTATTGTACACTTTGTGACTTATAACACAAGGAGAGCCAGTTTAGTGTAGTGACTAACCCGAAGCTCAAACAGCAGGAGCTGGGAAAGAAGCCGTGTGCCAGTGTTTTAACCTGCTTATTAAAGGAATAAAAGAGCAGTAGAAAAATGAGTGTAGATACATGCTCAGTGCCTAACAGGCTGGGGCTGTAAAATACCTCTACATATCTGAATATACTGAGAACTAAGGTCTGCAGAGGGATTATACAATTCTGTGAGAAAGTATGAAGTACAAAGTCAGTGTTTTGGAATGGCCAAATCAAAGTCTAAATTTGAACCTGGACAAAAATGTAGCAGAACCTGAAATGAGCAGTTCATGCGGGAAAACCCCCCCAATCTCTTAAATGTTATTTACAAGAAACAATTTGTTATGGATGAATGCACCAAAGATTCTGAGGGGACAATTTTTCACGCTGGTACATTGCATGTCTGTTTATTTACAGGATTTATATGGCCACTTATCTCATATACACCAAACCAAACAGCCTCCCCCATCCTAGCCCAATGCTTGGGGGAAGAGCCAGGTCTTCATGGCCTTCCTGAATGCTACAACAGTAGGGGCCCCTTGGATCTCTGGCAGGAGGCTATTCCAAAAAGGCTGGGGCAGCCACTGAGAAGGCGCTCTTCTGAGGTCCCATTAGATGACAACATTTAAGGGAAGGGAGCATGCCCACCCTATATAACCTAGTAGGATGGGCAGATACCTTCGGGGAGAGGTGGTCCTGCAAATAACCTGGCCCTGTGCCATGTAGGGCTTTAAATATCAAGGTGATAACCAGCACCTTGAATTGGACCCAAAAAGCAACTGGGAGCCAGTGCAGCTTATGCAGCAGTGGTGTAACTCGGGTGAACCATGGGACACCCAAAACTGTGCTTGGTGCTGCATTCTGGACCAGTTGCAGCTTCCAGATGGTCTTCAATGGCAGCCCCATGTAGAGAGTATTGCAGCAATTCAAACAGGAGGTGACTAAGGAATGAGTGACTATGAGCAAGGCCTCCCAGTCCAAGAATGGGCACAACTGGTATACAATATGAATTTGTGCAAAGACCCCCCACAGCCATGCGTGCCAGCATGGCTTCCAGCAGGAGCCATGAGTCCAGGAAGACACCTATGCTGGATAATTTTATGAAATAAATGAAACTACCACCAACCATTGGTGTTTTTTGTTCACTCAAACTTCCTTTAGTATCTACAGAACCCACCTGAAGCTCTGATAACATACAGATAAGCAAACACTTACAAAACCTGAAAAGAAATACTTTTTCACAGAACTCAAAGTATGTGTCTACTTACCTTCACATAATTTTGAATCCTGTTTAATGCAGCCAAGTTTGTAACTATGCAGTTTCTCTGCTTGAGAGCACTGCACTCAGCATATAAAGATCTATAGAAGAACTAGACACAGCTATGTTGGAGGCAAGGTTTACTGTATGTGCAAACCTCACCACGGTTATGCTTGTATGTGTAGTCTGAAGCAAAGTAATATTAAACTAATATATAAAAAGCATGAACTGAGAAGCAGAAATAGCTTCTTCTTTGGGGATCTGCCCTACTCTGATTCAAACAATAAAACACTGCAAGGTAGGTTGAACTGAGAGTGACTGATCCACAGAGCTCCAGTGAGCTCCACAGTTAAACAGGGACTTGACTGTGGGTCTTTATGGCCCAAGACTAACATCTTCATCACTTTACTACACTCACTTTCATACTGGGCTATGGTTTGTTAGGTTTTGATGATTTGTTGAGCGTCTATTAGTTAATTTCAGAGAACATGCATACGCTCTCTCTCCCATCACTCATATTTCCATGAGGTAAGCCAAAATAAAAGGCAACATGAAAGCCAAGCAACATATTTATTCAGCCTTTCGAAATTACCAGCCACCCAATGAAGACAACATAGAAAATGAACTGTACAATGGAGCAAATCCTTCCTCCTGTGCCGGTCATACCATCTGCTGGATGACAAAATAGTTACCCCTGTTTTACAAGTCTTCTTACCCACCTTTGTGGAAATTCCTGACAGTCCTATTTACCATACAGAAGTATGGTAGGAAATAGAACTTAGAGATACTATAAAATGATAGCAGATCTCAAGAGTTCTTGTGTCTCACTGATAATCTGACAAACATGAAAGATTAAACAAGGTTCTTTTACTTACTGAGAGGAAGGGAAACCTAAGCACGTTGTCAATTCCTAATGCCTTAAGCTGCAAGATAACTGGTGCCAGGTTACTTCGTTGCATTTCAGGAATGGTGGACTGTGGCAACTTCTCAAAGTCTTCCTCTGTGGAGAAAACAAAGTCCTTCGTGATTAAGTTTTAAACGTAAATCCTACCCCATTGTAAGATTTCAGAACTCAGTTAATAACATATATAAATTCAAGGTGTTCCAACTGATAACAATCAGGGCTATGCAAACCCTTTAAAAGTGGTGCCTTAGAATGCACAGAAACATGTACAAAGCACCTCTTTTTGAATCATTAAAGAAGCTACATATTTTTCCATACTTGTGCAACTGATTTAGAAGTTGCTCCTGGCTATCTCCACATACTGCATACTGCAGTGGCAAAATCTGCATCTGCAATACCATTTTACAAACCCAGAAGAATATGGCAAGGAACTTTGTGGGAAGGGGGGGAGGGTACCTTCAAGTCAGTGTTGAGTCCTGGTGACTACCTGGATACGTCCCTGCAGTTTTCTTAGTAAGATTTCAGAAGTGGTTTGCCCTTGCCTTCTTCCTAGGGCTGAGAGAGAGTGACTGGCCCAAGGTTACCCAGCTGGCTTTGTGCCTAAGGCAGCATTGAAACTCACAGTCTCCTGATATCTAGCCTGATGCCTTAACCACTACACCAAACTGGCTCTCAAGGGACATTTATCTGGCTATAAAGAAATGTTTCACTGGAACATTCTACAGTACAGACTCTTGTGCAGCATTAAATAGGATATGATGGACTGCAGGAAAAGTATATTACAGGAAAATCTGCTTCCATAACATACTGAGGAACATAATGGGAAAGAGAAATAAAAATGAACCGTAACATTCTGTTTTGGGGTTGGGAGGTGGATACATCTGATTATCAACAAAATTCCCTCTATGTATTCTCTTATTGCAAAATATTTTTTTAACAGTCTGCATAAGGAACAGGTATACAACTTTATTTTTTAATTATAAAATCTTCTTACAGACTATAAAACTGAATTTATTATTACAATTCTCAGTTACATAGCTCAATTATGAAACTATTGACAATCGATTAAAATTCCACTAATAAACACACTCTACCTGTGTAAAGTCTGTAACATTTTCCTGAGCGATTCCGACCAGCACGACCAGCTCTCTGATTAGCTGAGGCCTTAGATACTGGGACAACCACAAGACATTCAATGGCTGTTTTTGGATTATATGCACGAAGTTTCACAAAGCCACAGTCTATGACAAATGAAATGCCATTGATTGTGATAGAGGTTTCTGCAATATTAGTAGCCACTATTACCTGAAAGGACCAAAGTAAAAAATAAGTTTAATACAAGTTCATTGTCCCTATTCATAAACAACTAGGTAAGCTTGAGAAAATAACAACCATGGCTTGTTTGAAGGGCTGCCTTAAAACCTCACAAAACAACAGAAACAAAACTAGAGCTGTAAGAAATGTTTATTATTTAATCTCGATTAATGAATATGTAACAGGAACAGCCATTTCAAAACACTAAAATCTTTTCAGTAAAGCATTATTTTAAGTTAAGTATTTTAAGTATTTAAGTATTTAAGTATTTTAAGTTAAGTCTGCACAAACTATAGGTTAGGAACAGATTCCTAAAGACAAAATCACAACCCACAGTCAATATATAAAACTGCCAGAATAAATAGCCAAACTGTTAGATGGAAAGCCACACTGCTGTTTTCCTTTTTAAAAATAAAATTAAGAACAACTGTTCCTTCATCTGACATTGAAAAGGAAAGTGCATAATTAAGTAGGATAAAGGAGGAGGGACAAGAAAAAAGAGCACTGATGCAGAGGAAGGGTTCCTATTTTTAACAACATCCCACTAGAGCCAATCTGTCTCATTTGCATTCAACATTTTTAACAGCCAAACGAACAATTGTGATCTGGAATGTCATAGCAGATTATACATTTTTGAACACGATATAAAAAATAATCATCTCTGTATCTGTCAAGTATGATATAAACCATCTCTATGCATATCCTACCAAATTAAGTGAGAAGATGGTATATATATATATATATGTGTGTGTACAAACACACACACATACATATACATACATACACGCACAGAGACACACACACACACACAACACACAGAGCAGCCTTACCCAACTGGATATTCTCCAATGTACTGGAACTGTATCTCCTATAATTTCCAGTTTGAATGTTTATGCTGAAAATACTGGGAGTTGCAGCCCCAATACAGACCCAGGGCACCAGGCTGGGCAAGGCTGTATAGAAACAGTAAGTAAAATACTTTACCTTTCTCACATTATGAGATACCCTCTCAAAAACTTTCATCTGCTCAGTAGCAGGCAATCCAGCATACATAGGAAGAACACGCAGATGCTTCTTCATGCCTGTGCGAGCGATGGTTCGAGCTTGTTCTATCAACATAGAAACAACTGTTTCTACTTCTTCCTAGAAAAGTATTAAAGTGATTGACAGATTATATTATATTTACCTTCAAGAGTATAGCATGGGGCTGAAATATTCTAAAAACTTAGCTCTTGTAAGATTTTTTTCCCTGTTCATTATCTTAAAAGGCCAGTTAATTGTGTTAATTAAATAGGATGCCAGGCATCAATGTGATTTTCTTCCAATACCCTACAATACTTTCCAATCAAGTACAGAGAGCAGAATGGGAACATTCATACTAGAGCCTTGTATAACCATCAATTATCTGGTTGTTTTTAGCGGTCTTCTTCATACACAACAAACTGATAACAGAAAAGGAAGTATAAATTATTGGTGTTTTTCATTTCTTTTTTTAGCCGAAGTAAAACTTCCCTGCAAATTTCAGGAGCTGAGTGGAATGTATGTATTCTGTGGACTTGGAAATCAGGCAAACTTTCTTTTTCAGGCTTTAGACTTTTGCCACCTTTATTCAGATTTGCCCAAATATTCTACTGGAAGGGTGGGGATTGTCAAGACAAATATTTCAATTAATTGAGTACTATAATGTCTTCTTTTTTCTTTTGTTTATCAGAAAAATAGTTCACAGAGATAGTATATGCCTTATCTCTTATTTTCATCTCATTCCAAATTATGATTTCTGGCCTTTTGCACAAAACCACCCAGATTTTTCATTTATTTGATATATCATATATACTTCAGGACATTTTTATACTGTTCTCCTCCTCCTCAGTGATCAGACAAGTTCACATCACTAACATGTGGAAATAGCTGGTAAGACTTATTCCACTTATTGAAAGAGTGGGCAATTTCTAGAAATTTCACAAATGAAGCTTACTGCTCTATGACCAGACCTTCTCTCTTTTGCAACAACAGAAACAGCCTCTCCAAATAATCTGAAATAAGCTGGTAGGCAGTGTTTACATACCCAGCAGGTGAGGAAAGTAGAATATTCCTCTGAACTAAGAACATGGGGACTGTGTGTTGTTATAAATCAATCTAAATGCAAAGGAGTATATTTCCTCATACAACAGAAAATGCTGGAATTGCAGTTCATTCAACTGATTGTTACAATGTCTTCATGTGTGAAGCAGCCCTACAGTATTCATAATTATATTTGTGTTTAATTATTAAACACATTTTGGCTGTCAAGCACATTCCAATTGCTCTCCTCATTCCCAATGCGTGTTGTATCATATCCTACACATTTTTCAGATAGAAAACTATATGGTAATGCCATATACTTCTGTACCTCAGCATTCCTACTTCTATATGCTGTTGCCTTGATCCATGAAAGCTAAAATAGAAGTGAAGAATTTGCCTAAGGTTCAAAAAGCAATAAGCATTATGAGTAAAGATTAGAAATATGAATTTGCGTGGTATTACTTAGGGGTATGCAAAATGTCCCATGCATAAACCATTCTGTGCATAAAACAGCTGGTTTTTGGTGGACTATGCTGAATTGGAACACAGGTTTCTTGTGCTTTGTTCCACACACAGAATGAAATTGGATTGCTTTTGTTCCAGGAAGAAATGGTTGAAGGAGAGTGGGGGGAAATGCCAAGGACACTGGCAGATGAGGATACATGGAAAGGGAAAGACTGTAGAGGGTAGACCAGTGGGAGATGCTGAGAGGAAAAGAAAAGAGATGGAACAACACACATCAGTCTTGCTCAACTCAGTCTGTTTCATCTAAACCAGTGTTTCTCAACTTCAGCAATTTTAAGAGGCGTGGCCTTCAACTGGCTGGGGAATTCTAGAAGTTAAAATCCATACCTCTTAAAGTTGCTGAGGCTGAGAAACACTGACCTAAACCCAGAACAGCCAAAATATTCCAAACTTTGGTTCTGCTCACTATGGCTGGTCCAAAACAGTTTTGGTAATATCTCTGAAAATGCCTTGGCATCCCCTAACACTATTGTATACTATCATATACCCACTGGAAGCAAAATGGAGGTTCTAGAGAAACTGAAATTCCACTGATCAATTTATCTTGCTGTACCACTGGCAGGGAAGAAATATTCATAGATTACTCACTTTTGCATTGGTTTATCATTATTCTAAAATAGCCAAGTACATCACTATTAAAAGAAAATGCCTAAATATTTAATTTGATATTTGGACTCCTCTCATGTGCATGTGTGCAAGCACACACACACAGACACTTTCCCAATCTTATATCCTCCTGACATACTGCAACCACAAATCACAAAATTACAAGCCAATACAGTCCATGGCTACAAGCTAGCAATTCAATAGCCCCAAACCTCTGAGTCACTAGGTCAGTGTTTCTCAACCTTGGCAACTTTAAGATGAGTGGACTTCATCTCCCACAATTCTCCAGCTAGCATGCTGGCTGGGGAATTCTGGAGATGAAGTCCACTCATCTTAAAGTTGCCACGGTTGAGAAATACTACACTAGATTGTAGAAGTTTAATGTAACCTATATTTTAAGTTAAATGCAATCATCAATCTTGCATGAAATGAAGTGAACATATTATCTTACATCAAACCAATAATTTCAAGAAGACAAAGTTTATTTTGCATCTACCTGGCCAGTTAAAAATGCCAGTATATCTCCATCACCTTCTGAGTGATGAATTTTCATGACTGTTTCCACAGTTGATTTCACATAATCTGGAACAGGACTGTTAGGGGCAAGGGGAGAAACATATAAATGAGTCCAATAAAGGAAAATACGATTTCTGCTTATTGCCAAGAATAAAGGAAATACAGATAGATTAGATCCTTTTAACAGGATCACAAAATTAACCCTAACTACTCTTTTCTGTTTTCTTCATAAAACATTTGATACTACTACACATTCTATATTTCAATTTATATACACATGCTTAAAATATTATTTCACAGTAATGAGAAAACTAGTTCAAGAAACAGTAAATATTCTTCAGCATATTATTAAAAACCTGATTTTTAAATAATGCAAAGTCAATATACATTCAAATGCTTCATATCTGAATAATCTATATTGAGTTTGGAAATCTGGTTCTAATGGCCTTCAGTAACTATTCATCCAGAAGCAACTTTTAGACTTCCAACAAGTAAACAGGAATTAAAACTGTCATTATCATATACAGGGAATCTTACCCAAAAAATATCTCCTTATCTTAGAATTGGAATGGGCAGGACCACACAAGGAAATATTTTAAAAATATCTGAGGAAGAATGTGGTGGAAAACCCAGACTTCCAGTGCACATATATGTTGCACATGGTATTCATGGTATTCCACATGGTATTCAAAGAAAAAAAGAACTGACTAAATTATATTCATATATGCACATTACTTCATGAAGCTAATGAAATAAGTACTAACCAACAACAGCTCATACAGAAATAATCACTTGCTTCAAAAAAGCTACAGAACTATTTTTTCAGCTACCATGGATTAATATGGCTACTTGTCCAGAATGCTTTATCACAATTACTTGAACACTGTTCACTTTAGTCAATTGCAAAAGTAGTGATGTTACAAGAACATAAAGGGATAAGCAAAAGATTATCCACCTATGACACCCACATTTCTTGCTCAGCACAAATGCAAAAGCAAGCATGCAAATGCATGGGTAAAAAACAAGCCCACTTCTGCCACCGGACCTGTCCATCTCCTTCTGTGGAGGAGGAGAGAGGGCATGAAGGTGCTGCCAAGCTTGCCCATAGCCCTTCTGTGGAGGGGGAAGGGGAGAATTAAGATTCCAGGGGAGGAAAAGCATGAAGATTCCACCGAGCCCCCGTAGCACTTGTCTGAAGTCTGCTCCAGCTGGCCGGTGCAGAAGGGGACGGGGGAAGGTTCCCGAAGCCCTCCTCCACTCAAGTCTGCGCCTGCTGCTCACAAAATAGGAGAGAGATACAGTCAATTGGAAAACAGGATGTAGGTTTATATCCTAAATGTGTTGGTAACAAAGCCCAAGAATACCTAAAGATCCATTTAACGTTACTTTCTCAACCAGACTTTTGGCTGGCAAGCAGGTATTAGAGGCATGCTTCTTTTCTAACCACCACTTAAGCATTAAACAGGAACAGACCTCTGAATATAGAAGACATCCACTGGAAATGTCCGTCCTTCCACAGTAAGGATCATGCTGGTATCTTTGCTTGGATCACTGCTCTCATTTTGGTTAAAGAAATCCCTAAATTTCTAAAGTAAAGACAGTAAAAACATCACCATCAACACCAGCTAAAGGAAACAAACACATATAAAATACTGGGAATCCAAGGAGGAACATTTAAGTTTAAAATATAAATGTGGATTTGGATTGTTTTCTGCAAACCAAATCCTTACTTCTAGCAACATATTTTCAAAATGACATCATACAGTTAATAAGCATATCTATAGAAAAGAATATATATGATCTTGCAATCTTAATAACATTTTTAATTTTGACATTGATTTAATAAAACCTATAAATCATTCAAAAGAACATATATCCAATGTTTTCAGTAAATTTAAAAATAACAATTTGCTCATAAAATGTAAGATTAACTAACAGTAACAATTAGAATTAGCTGGAAGCAAATTTATACATATATATAAATATATGAGATTTAATTTGCATACTTGACATATATTAAATATGCAGTTAAGCTACTTTCTACACTCTATTTTGACATATAATGTATTATAAAACACTAGCATATAAAATACTAACAAAATGAAATACAACTCAACTTCTTTTCAAATTAGCAGTGTGATCTTTATTTCTCGTCTAGATTTACTCAGTCCAATAATTAATGTTTTGAAGACATTTACTGTGATTAATAACAGAATTTTATTTACTACTTACATTACTAATGGATAATTATTTTCCATCAATTATCACTGGCAAACAAAAGTTGCAGCCTTTTAATTTTTAATGAGTAGGAAAATTAGACAGAACTGAAAGAACATAAAAGCAGCCATTTATCCAATAACTCACTCACCAAAAAAAAAAAAAAATCTCTATTAAAATAAAATAAGAAGCAATTTTGCAGGTTTTCTAACAGCTTCTGAAAGGGAATTCCTGTATGCAGTTCAGGCAAGTAGAGATAACATAACCAAAACCTTTAAGCTTTATACAAGATTAGTATTATCAATTAAATGCTTTTGAAGTTAACCATGGTATACTCAGCAAGGAGAAATAAAGTCATCCAAACCTTAATTTCTTGCTGAGAAACACAAATCTTAGTATGATGTTCATCACAGCAAAGTTAACTTTCTTTCCCATTGCTAGCATGATGCTTTGATTACATTTCCAAGACAAGGATCACTGGGAAATGGATCTTCCTAAGGTGAATGCTTTTTGTCAACCATATTCACAGAATAGTTTTGTTTTGTTTTTTAAATACTAAATACTGAAAGAGGACTTGTGGAGGCTAGAGGAAGATATCCATCCCTATATCACTGATATTTTATTATCAGTGAAGCAGGTAAGGGGGGGGAGGAGGAATTCAGGCAGTGATTTGGAATGGGAATCATTAGAGATGAATGGAAGGCCCCCAGATCAAGATACCTTGTGCTCTCAATGACTTTATCAACAATGAAATAGAGTCCAAATTCAGAACAAGTTTTCCAAGTGCATCAAACACAGTAGCCCAATTTTTTTCTATGCTTAAAACAGCCTTTTTTACAAATTCTCCTGCAAAAGGCCTATAATCATTTGAACAAAATCACTGTTTTTAAACAAGCACCGTCAATTCTGGTGGGGTTTAGACTAATAGCATTACATTCCCAGAAGACTATTCCTTTGTACCCAAATGTATTGATGAAACTCTTATACTTTGCATTCTAGAGGACAGATGAGAAGTCAAAAATATAATGCCTTGTTTTTCTAACATACTCTTCTGGAATATCACCTACCTCAGCATCCAGTGTAGCTGATGCTATAATCAAGCGAAGATCTCCTCGTTTTTTCTGAACCTGTAGGACACCATAGGGGAAAATATTAAAAACTGTTCAGTTATGATCAAATTTAATAAAAATCTAGAACTAATGTTACAATTTATGAAAACTATTGGTATCATATATCTACAAGGTAATTACAAAATCAGGTTTTATTCTCATTTTCTCAGAGAATGACCTATTCACCTAAACTTGATTGAGAAGAGAAACATGTTTTCATGCATTAAAAACTAAGCCATAGATTCTCCTCTTCTGTACAGTCAGTTAGGTGTCTTAATTTAAAAGTATGCTATTTTTACAATTATCCTCATCCTTGATATATCTTGCCTAAAAATTGCTAAACAATACTGCATAATGTGACAGGATACACTATACTATTTCCTCAATAGCACTCAATACTCATTTCTCTCATCTTCTTGAAGAGATGAGGCTGGAAAATGGCAACAATATACCAGGGGTGAAGAATACATGGCTCTCTAAATACAGAACTATATTCCACAGCATATCTATTGGCCATGCTGGATAAAGTTACTGGGAACTGTAGTTCAGCAACTTCTATTAGGGCCATAAATTCCTATTCTTGATGTAGATTGAATACAATGGGCTTAGAAATTATTGCAACCGAATTCAGATATATCCAAGACTGCAGGCCTACAGCAACAAAATAATTGTAAATATTTGGTTTGTTCCCTACTCAATGGTTGCAAAAGGAGGAATGGAGAATATAACATATAGTTAGAATTCTAACCTTTTTTAATAATCCAATGGCAATGTCTGTATACAAAGTTCTTTCATGGGCTTCATCCAACATGATAACACTAAATAAAAGCCAAAATATATTTTTTTAAAACATTCCAATCATGAAATGTTCATTGCAATGAATATTAAACATGCTTAGAAACCCTGAATTAGCAAATATAATTCATGATACAATAGCCACAGTTCATATATTATGGAAGTCATATAACTAACTTTGGTGTTACACACTTGTGACTCACAAAATTTAAAAACTTCAACAGAGTTACAACAAACCATAATAAATTATATACAAATTCTCAGAATTACAACTCAAAATAAATAAGTAATAGAAAGTCAGGAATAGCTTTTTATCTAAATTAAGTCCTTTATAGAAAATGTTCAAGATTTGGATCTGAAAAACATGTTCTTGGGCTATATCTAGCTATATTATTCCACTGGCAAATGCGGGTCGATTAACCAAATGGATTCTTACTTTCCATCTGACCTACTGAATTATGGGACCCTTAAAAACATATTTGGAGCACACAGAGGGAGAGAAAAAAATAGAAGCTGCTCTTGCTGTTGGAGTTGAAGTTTGCTTACATAATAATGTATGTAACCATTTTGATTTTTTAAATAAAAATATGCTGCTTGCTTACTACAAATGAATACAAATACGTGGTATGGATTGCTAGCAAAACTCTGAAAGACAAATGGAGTGAGATAACAGGAATGAAAAAAACCCTAATCTACCTATAACATAATAGGTATTCTAACATCTCTTATGAATTTTCTCTGTGTGTGTGTGTGTGTGTGTGTGTGTATGCGCATGCCTTAATCACTAAACCAAACTGGCTTGCTGATATAGATACAGCTATAGACATATTCTAGCCTGACGCCTTTATCACTAAACCAAACTGGCTGGCTGGCTGGCTGGCTGGCTTGCACACACACACACACACACACACTGTGTGTGTGTGTGTGTACATATACACATACATACACACACACACACAAATAAATAAATAAATAAATAAAAATAAAAGCCAGTTTGGTTTAGTGACTAAGGCATCAGGCTAGAAACTGGAAGGCCACGAGTTCTAGTCCTGCCCCGATTTATTGGAATAATAAACAAAATTCAGAAAATTAGCTCCCAAATGTTTACAGTCTACATTCCAACAAAAATAAGAAAATAAAACAAAGAAACAAAGGGAAGTAGAAATGAACACAAAGGAAGATACCAGCATTAATAGCTTTATAATAATCTGTTTACCTATATCTGGTTAATAATGGGTCAGCCATCATTTCCCTGACCAGCATTCCATCTGTTAGAAACTGCAACAAACAAACAAAAACTCTTTTACATTTGTTCTGAAACAAGATTCATAGCCCAAAATTCCAGCAGATGATAAGTAATTTCATCTGCTTTCATGGGTTCAGAGATTAGTGTGGCTCTTTTATACAGGCAAAGTAGTAGCATATTTGCAGAAGACAGAGAATGCCTGCAAGAAACTGAAGGTTTGGAGAAGGACAAACATAAAGAAAAAAAGTAATAATTGAGAATGCTGAACAGAACAAAATGTAGACTGGCAGTAGAAGGACAATTGTTGGGTTACAAAAGTTATCTATCTATCTATCTATCTATCTATCTATCTATCTATCTATCTATCTATCTATCTATCTATATTTATTGGCCGCCCAACTCCAGTGGACAAATCTGGTATTTCTATCCATCATTTAAATGTTCTTTGGAAAATTGGAACCACCCTGGACTCTCCTAAGTATGTATGAAAGTGGTCCTATTTGCCTCTGAAAAACATTACAACCAATTCAAAACAGCCAATCAGTATAGATCTCCATTGTTCTCATTCCTAGGATTTATTGTTTCATTTGCTCTTGATTGACTGGAAATATTTGTAAACACTTTGAGGATAGAAGCATCTTGTTCAAATATATTACCTTAATCCTTGTACCCTGTGGGTCAGTACAATCATCAAATCGTATGCAATATCCAACTTCATGACCCAGCAAGGCACCTCTCTCCTCAGCTACCCGCCCTGCAATCTAAGAGAAAAGATAATATTAATATTTCAAAGAATAAACACATTTTGGTTTGGGAATGCATACTGCTTGTTTATCTTGTACTACTAAGGAAAAAAATGGAAAAAATCAGTGGAGTAAAATTTGTTGAACTGAGCTAATCCTGTTGGACCATTATGTAGTAGTTAATTAAGTATAACCAATGTTTATATGGCAAGACCCAGTTTCATTTTTGAATACTGGCAATGCAATTATTCTATTTCTACAAGGACTAGGAAAAAGAAAAAAAGTTAAAATCCTCTGTATTTAAAGACTGCACCAGCACAAGGACTTCAACACAAGAAAGCTAGAGGTTCTCCAAAATTTTATTTAACTAGAAAGCTGTCAGACTATCAGTGATTTTGCCTTCATCATCAGAAATGTATTATTTGGTGGTGGCCCTCCAGCTGTAAAATGTTCTCACTAAAAAGGCATACCTGGTGCCAAAAAGCTCATGTAATAGAAGTGCCAGACATCTTTTTGGACCCAAATTAAGTCTATAAAAAAAATCACAGGAACTTCAGTTTGAGAAATGAAATTGTCTGCTCCATGTTTCTGTATGAAAAGGCACCAGGGAGAGGAATTAGCCTTGTTGGCATCCATTACCTTTTTAAAGAGATGTTATCACTGCAGATGAAAGCAATAAACATCTGCAGTGATTTGACACTCAGTGAATTAAAATATTTGTTCCATTTACTATAAAACTCTATTACGGCTGTTTTCCATGTCAGTTTTCTGTCTTCAAAACTATTTGACAATATTCTATCAGCAAACAGATAAGCAGTTCACTCTAAAAATCAATTTCAATTAGTTATAAAGCTATATAAACAAAAGTATAATCTGTATCAACTAATGCTTGCTGCACCAAATATAGAAATATCCATGTGCTCTTCACATTTGTTCATCAAAATGGGCCATATGGTAAATTCTGACAAACTTGAAGTGAACCATGACAAAATCCAAGCATAAACATGAAGTTCAAATGACACATTTTAATGATATATACAGTATGCAATGCTACATTTTTATAAATGTACAAAATCTTCTGAATACAATGCCTGTAATTCAAGAAAAATATAGCAAACACTATAGGAACACTGATGATGTTATCTGGTTGGGTAATGAAACTTCAGCAAGCAAATGACCAAGCTCAGAGAGCACCAAGGACTCCACATATAGCATTTTACAAAGTTCCACAATTAAGTATTTTGTATAGTACATTTCACGCCCTTCAAATAAATTAGGCTATGAGGTCAAAGCAACTATTTATTGCTAGTCTTTTACTGATTTTCTTAATTTTACAGATTAAACTGGTGTAATGTCACTCTGGGGAGTCAGCAGAATAAATGGATGAAATCTTATTAACACCAAATCTTGCAAACATTTGGCATTCTCACTAATAAATTTATTTTTAAAATGTATTTATTTTTTTAGGGAATAATATCTGAGCTATTGTGCAAATCATGCAATAAAACCCAAGGCATGAAAATCCCAGCTCCAGGTTTAGTCTGAGCATTCTGATATTGGGGCAGTACATTGAATCCCACACTTCTGGAAGGGTGAAAATGAAGAATACAGTACTTTTGCTATAAGTAGCAGTTGTTTCTCTAATCATCCTCTCCTATAGCAGGAGAAAATTGAACTAATGGCTGCTTTAAATTTCTTCCCTGGTAAGAAACCAGGAGGGCTCAGGATGCTTCACATCCATAAGGTCCTCTGATATGCCTTGTATATAACCCCTTACATATCCCCAACATCAGACTTCACTGCTATGGAAAAGACTGGGAAGTGGAAAGGGAAATCCAGTGTCAGATTCTCCCTCTAAATTTAGAATGAAAACTGATCAATCTTATGGCTTGAGAAAGAAAAAACCCGTTTGGAGACAAGCTTTTGGCAGCGTCCAAAGAAATATAAAACTAAGGAAAGTCAATTTGTCTTGCATACTATTTCATTCCATGGGCAACCCATTTCTGAAACCAAGACGACTTTCAAATCAACTGGTGATATGTAGATTTAATAAAATATTAAATAACTCACTAAACTTGTATAAATATGTTAGCATTCCTAAAATAGCTCTTTGGATCCTAGCCTTAGTACCACATACTATGTTAAAAGATGTGGAAGAGTTCCTCTGAACCCTGTGTCAGAAGGTTTCAATCCATGCACTGAATTATAATGAAATGTACTAATTAATCTAACTCTACTGTCAAAGATTTTCCAGCTTTTTATCTTTCTGCTGTATAGGTACAGTTGTACAAAACTAACACTACACAAAACAGGTGGCTTTGGGTGGTCCATGCCTGATCCAAAAGTGTACTTTTCAGGTGTTTGGGTCTGTATGTGGAATGAAGCAGAACTGTTTTGTTTCACATATAAACAGAAATATGATTATTCTGGACAGAAGTGGTTTGGGTGGAGTAGAGGAACAGTAGGAAAAAGCAAATGAAAAGGGGTTTTGTCTGTGATGGCATGAATGGACATCAGCAGCAGTCACTGAGGAGAGGCAGGGGAAGGAGGGAAGGCAAGGAAGGGGGCTGAGAAGTGGGGGCAGATCAGCATACAGGAAAAGAGGTTGTAAGAGAGAGCAATGGGCATCAGGTTTGCTCTACCTGCCCCATAACATTTCTCCAGGATCCTTCCAGATTTTGCCTTGGCCAATGCCTAGAACTAAAATATTCCAAATTTTGTTTCTGCCAAGCTAAAACAGTACAGCAGAACTTAACATGATGGTTTGTTTCAAGTTCAAAACAAAACATATTTTCTATTTTGTACATAAAAACAATTATGGGTTTCCTGACTTGGAATGGAAAATCTGTGTCTGCCTTGAATAAAATTTTACACAAACTAATTATTTGCACAGCTCCACATACACATATGAAGGCATCATGTTTTTTCAGGGCCACAAGAAAATTGATATCAAAACCTATATTCTGTTATGAAGAGCATCAGAGTTTGCTGTGAATATGCCCAGGTCCTAATTGCAAATTATTGTCCTCACATCAAAGAAAGAATAAAGGAAAATATACATTTTAAGATCCTATTGCAAAAATTTTCAATGAAAACTTATGGAAAGTATTTATTTGTTCCTATCATAGTGTCTCATAGATATTAAGAAATATCAAGAATGCTTAATGTTGATAGAAGTATTTGCAAATGTCAGGCATTATACACTTGACTAACATATCTACCATATTCTGCAAAAATAATATGTAGAGAAATCTCAGAAGTTGGAATCCAGGGCACTCACTGAAACACAAGCAACTCTCCGAGGCTGTGTTACTCCCACTATCCGGCCTTCGGCAGTCCAACCAGCTTCTGTTAGATACTGTGATGGGGAAAAATATTTATTAGAACTGCTATATAAACTCTACATTAATCTTGGTCTTTAACTATTTTATTCCTCCCAATCTCCCTCCATTTCTACTTTCTCTCCAAACAGAGTGCCTTGTTGGGAAAATCAAACTGTTGATCTAATTCAATGTACAGGTAGCCCTCAGGTTATGACAGCAATTGGGACTGGAACTGCCATCGCTAAACAATGCGGTCATAAAGCATGACGTCATTTGACTGTATTGCTTAGCAATGACCATCCTGGTAGCCCAGGTTGCCATTGTAACCCCAAGACACACAGGTCATTAAGCAGGAAGCAGCAGGAGTCCCAGGTAAGGAGAGCGGGGGTACCACAGGGGGGTGGAGAAGGCCCTGGGAGGCCTGACGCAGGCTGTGAACTAGCACAGGGAGGCCAGAGGAAGCAGAGTGCAGTGCTGCATGAGCACAGAGAGGCTCAGGAAGGAGGCCACGTGTTGGTGCAAGCACCGGGAGGCTGGGGGAAGGAGGGCACGGCATCGTGAGAGCGCAGAGAGGCTGGGAGGATTTAATGGGGTGACTTGCAGCCTTCCCTGCCAGCTTTCGCCTCGACTTTGTTTGTGAGAAGCTGGCAGGGAAGGTCGCAAATGGCAATCACGTGACCGCAGGGTACTGCAACCATCATAAGTGCAAGCCGGTTGCCAAGCACCCAAATTGCAATCACATGACCACAGGGGTGGTGAGACACAAGCAACTCTCCAAGGACTGGTCGTAAGTACCAGTCATTCAGCACCGTTGCAACTTTGAACAGTCACTGAACAACTGGTCAGTAAGTGAGGACTACCTGTATAATAAAATAGCACAGTGAAGACAATAAACCACTCCTGTTATTTTTGAAAAATCAAGTGAATTAGGTTAAACTATACATGCTATTATAATAAATATCAATTCTTAAAATATCTAGAAAATATTTAACCGACTTCAGAAAAATGAGTAATCTATTTTCTCCTATTACCTTATAAATTATCTTAGTTGGACAATTACCATCTATCAGACTAATATATTTGAAAGGGCTTGTATCTATATCTTGGTTTTGATAAATGGAAAGGGCCTTCTATCAGCAAAAGCTTTTAATCCAGAGGAACATTTCTGCAGGCAAAATCAAGAAAGAGATATTTTTATAGACTTCCTCTTCAGCTCCCTGAAAATATGTCCTGGAAGGTTGGAGGTGATGCTGGGGGCTGCAGAGGGAAAAGGGAATTGGTAGCAAATCATTTCTTTGCCCACTTTCCAGAAAGTTTTGAACAGAGCTCATCTCAGAGAGTGCCCCTATTGGCAAAAGCAAATTCTAGATCTAATTTAGTTATTGAGATATAATGGCAAAGAATTACTGATAATGTGAAAATTGTAAAATATTTTTGTTAGATCAATAATTATCCAGAAAAAGTATGAAAATTAACCACAGACATGGTTAATTACATTAATGTAATTATCTACAAATGTTAATTTGAAAGTGGAGAATATTTTTGAGTATGCTTCTCTTCAACAAATAGCTGGCTTCAACTAAAAAATGGTAGATCCATACTCAGTAATTCTGACAGTAGATCCAGTGAAACCAATGGGAACATTTGGACAAGTTAGATATGATTATTTAGAATCACTGATTCCAGCAGGCCTACCAATTCAATGACTTCTGCCCAGCATTCATGAATTACAAACTAGTCATGGTTATGAAGGTTACAGCAAACCAGAAAAAAATTATAAACTATAAGTGTTTCTGATTGTAGCAGAAAGGGAACTATGCATATGCCTATTTAACTTTTCAAAGGACATTACAGGTAATTCTTGAGTTACGAAAGCAATTGGGACTGGAATTTCCATCGCTAAGCAATGTGGTCATAAAGCATGATGTCACGTGATAACATCACTTAGTGATGGCAATCCCACCAGTCATTAGCCAAGGACCTAGCCCGATCCAAGCCATGGTCCTTGGATGAGGCATGGTCCCTCCCAGCCCCAACCCTTGGTAAGGTAAGGGATTGCCTCCTCTTCAACTCCCCCCACCCGCCTATCTCCCCCCCCATCTCTGTCTTTTTGGCTGCCTTGCACTCCATCACCTCTGCCAGCCTTGCCGCCCTGTGCTCCTCTCGCCCTGCCAGCCTGCTGACCTTGCTACCCTGCACTTGCTTGCCCTGACACCCCTGCTGGCCTTGCCGCCCCCAAGCTGACCTTCATCAACTTATTCCTGCCTCTGCTGATGAGGCATGCCCTGCCTGGCCCTTTGTGAGACAGCTGCTGGCTGTGCCAGGCCTTCTTCCCAAGACTGAACCCACCCATTGTCCACATCATGCATGCCCTTGTCCAAATCACATGCAGCCTTCTCACAAGGGGTGGCAGGGGTGGCAAGGCCGGCAGAGGAAGCAGGGCCAACGAGCACAGGGCAGAAAGGCCAGCAGGGGCGGCAAGACCAGCGAGTACAGGATGGCAAGGCTGGCAGGGCAAGCATGCACAGGGCAGCAGGGCCGGCAGTGCCAGTGGAGTACAGGGCAGCCAAAAGGGCAGAGATGGGGGGAGCTAGGCAGGTGGGGGGAGCTGAAGCGCCCCTGCAGTCGTAAGTATGGGAGGGCTGCCAAGTGCCCGAATTTTGATCACGTGACTGTGGAGGTGCCGCAACTTCAGGGACCATGCGTAACTACCACTTGTTCAACATTGCCGTAACTTCAAACAGTTGAATGATTGGTTGTAATTCAAGGACTACCTCTATTAAGATTAGGTCAATCATGCTTGTTAATTTTTTCTACAAATATATTATTCGGGGCCAAGAAGATTTGCAATAGATCCATGGAAAATGACTGAAAATCAGGTCAAGAATTCCATTAATAAACATATAAATACAGATATTAATACTCACTTGAGGAATCTGAGTGCTCTTCCCACATCCTGTTTCTCCAACAATCACTAATGTCTGATAGTTTTCTACCAGATAAAGGATATGATTTCTAAGCTGGAAGAGAAATAGATATTCAAACATGGATTAGGGGAGCTCATAAAAGACATTTTAACAAAGAGCTATGGATGGAATCTACCCTGTGTTAACAGCATGGAAATATTTATTTAGACTGCTTTATTTCATGCATCCTTAAACAAATCACAAAACAGATTTATTTGGACTATATATAATTCACTTTAAAATGCTACACTAACAATATAATATATAAAACAATAACACAATAAAATAAACAGGCATATAATCTACACCAAGCAAGCTACAATCTAGCACAGAATTCTTAAAACCCACAGAATTCAACTTGTGTTTACATCAACAGTGCACAGTGGCAGGCTTGTATTGCTGTCAAACGTTCCCATAAATTGAGATACAAAAAATTATTTTGTGTTAAAAGATACATTTATGTTGCAAAATCAATTTGAAATATGAAATGGTGACGTATACAAAAAAGACAATGCTTGCAATTATGCAATTCAAAGTATCAAAAACCATTTATACCTTAAAAACAGGCAACTTTTGCCTCTGTTGTTCAACAGAAAGGGAAATATAGGGATTATAGATGACCGAAACACTTGAACTTTCAGCAGCATTCTGTCTCTCCTCTGACAGGCTGACACCAGGCCCTTCTGTGCCTATACACCCAAGCAGAGAAATCATTATTAATATGATGTGACTTTTAAAAAATACAAAGAAGGTAAAGAAATATTTTCGTCTGTAATTTTACTTGTAACTTGAAAAGCTAAATTTGAGGCAGAATTAGTCATCAAAAATTCAAAGACAGGCAGAATAGATTTATTTAAATAATGCAAATCCCTATTTTTGTTAAAAGAAGGATGCTAAATTTCTGATCTCTGCAGCCAATTTTGAGCTGAATGAGGATGATCAAACTGAAGCTTAATCATGACAAGTCAAAGACAACATGGGTGGCTAAGCAGACTAATCCTGACAGAGGTTTTATGTCTAACCTTTTTACCAACTTCAACTAGTTGGAAAGACTGTACCACCCAAAATTACGATACCAGATTGATGATACATATTTACTCTCTGCTTATGAACTGGCTCTCCACTGATGTAATAGAAACTCTGAGCAATATTACTTGTGGTGCTATACCTTACAGGTTTGATTCTTTAAATTGTGTTTCCCTTTTCTTGTTTTTTACTTCCTTTTTTTGCTTTTCATGTTCTTTTCAGTTCAGTATTTTAAAAGAAATATTTTTTTTAAAAAATACCAACTTACATTGGCATACCAGTTATGTCCGCATCTGCTGAGAACAGACTGTACCTCAGTTATCTATGTTCCAATGGCCTCCAAGCTGGAATTTTCTAATGCACTGTGTATAGGGCGGCTTTTTAATGATGGTTCAGAAATTAAAACAAGACCAAACTGGAGCTATCATTACTGGTAGCAGACTGAAATATATGCACTTCTGTGATACTAGAGTATGAGGCAATTAAAATGCTGGGTTTTAAAAACCTAAATAGTTTAAGCTGCTCTTTTACTCCATAGCCTCTCAAGGCCTAGCAACCAACTGGACTGGTTGCTAGGGCTTTTCAAATAATCTCACACAAACCCACAAAACATGTATATGTAGAGTTGTAAGTTAGGGAGGCAGGTTCTTTAGCCTGTGACTACTTTCTACAGAAATAAGCACTACAGAATGCAGTAGCAACCAGAAGCGTACAGTACAAATTTTCTGAAGGAGATACTTTGCAATGTCCAAGAACACATACAAAGCACCTTTTTCTGAACTGCTGAATTAGCCATGACATTTTCAAGGCTCCTGCAGCTGCTTGGGAAGGTGCTCCTGACTGTCTCTGCATGCTTTGAGCAAAGTGGCTGTGCATGAATATTGCAATGTACTGCTTTGTGCATGTAAAGTATCTCTTTTGAAGACTCTGCATAACCTTACTGGATGCAGCTATTTTATGCTCTTGTGACTGCATTCCATAATTACAGTGTTTTGGATGTATCTACATAATAAACAAAATATGTTGATTTCAATTGTGATAATTTCTGAGTAATACAAATAGAATCTGTCTACTGTACATTAATGTTGTTGAATACAGATCTGTTTGCAGGAATTATATGAATATTTATTAAGAAATTTCTACTATAAGTCTCCCTTCTGTAGGAAATGGACACAGGTTATGCAACCAGCCTCATTGAACTCAGAAGAGTTTAAATCCAAACATACTAATAAACAACATACTAGCATGTGTGTATTTTAGAAGCTTATCTAAGCTTACCTACAGCAACTGACAAATGCATGTGCTACATCATGCAACAGATACAAATGGGTAAAAAAAATGGATATATTGTATGTAAGTTGCAATTCCCTATAAATGGGCTCTACAGTTTAGAGGAGTTAAAGAATTATTCCAAGTTGATTGGATAATGAATGGCTGTTGTTATGATCCATCAAGGCAACCCTGACTCCTGCTGACTGCAGGAACAGGTCCATGCACTTTTCTTGGCAACATTTTTGGAAGGGGTTTGCCTTTTCCTTCTTCCTAGGGCTGAGAGAGAGGGACTGGTCCAAAGTTATCTAGCTGGCTGTTGTGCCTAAGGCAGAACTAGCACTCAGAGACTCCAGGTTTCTAGCCTGGTGCCTTTAACCACTACACCAAACTGGCTTTTGTACCATGAATACTGCGTCACAATTTTAAGATGCCATCAGCAATATCAAGCAGCATGCATGTACACATCTTCCCATGTCAGAGTTCAGAAAGCTCCTATATATTCTGGTTTGCCAAAATTTATCTTTAGCTGAAATCTAGACCACATATATGGTGCTTTCTTAATTGCTATAAGATGAATGCATTGTTACAAATTAAGTGTAGTAGCCTGCCCAGCAACCATATTATTGCAATCTCAACACATCGCAAAGGCATGAGATTTGGGAAAGTTGTTTTAAGACGTCATGGCTGTTTTCAAAATTACCGTATTTTTCCGACTATGAGACAGAAAAAATTATTTTTTTCTAAAGCTAAAAATTGAAGGGCATCTTATGCAAGGAAGTAAGCTGAGGAGAGAACCGCGCGGTTGCAAAACTGCCCATACTTTGTCTCTACAAACAGGCTTCCTCCAATCACAAGCCTCCAATCACGAGTGAAACTGCCCATACTGTCTCTGCAAACAGACTTCCTCCAATCACGAGCCTTATGTAACTGATGTCAGCTGATGCTGAGCAAACCAATTGGAGGAAGTCTGTTTGCAGAGACAGTATGGGCAGTTTCACTCGTGATTGGAGGCTTGTGATTGGAGGAAGCCTGTTTGTAGAGACAAAGTATGGGCAGTTTTGCAACCGCGCGGTTCTCTCCTCAGCTTACTTCCTTGCATAAGATGCCCTTCAATTTTTAGCGTAAGGATTTTAGAAAAAAATAATTTTTTCTGTCTCATAGTCGGAAAAATACGGTAATTTTGAAAACAGCCATGACGTCTTAAAACAACTTTCCCAAATCTCATGCCTTTGCGATGTGTTGAGATTGCAATAATATGGTTGCTGGGCAGGCTACTACACTTAATTTGTAACAATGCATTCATCTTATAGCAATTAAGAAAGCACCATATAT